CTCTGTCTCTGCCTTCTACCGAGCTGTGATCTATTCTCTCTCCGCCAACCACACGCCAATATATAAAAAAAACAAAGAAAGCCGGGTTGTGAGTGCCTCACACATGTAATCCCAGTATCCTTCGGAGGCTGAGGCGGGTGAGATACAACACATAACACACAAAAAAAATTCAAGACCGCCATGAGGCCCAAGGAAAACCAACCAAATCACTAATTAAATACAAACAATTACGAAGCAAAAAGGTGGCCATTGCCTGTATTTGCCATACCCGCTCAAGCTATCGAGGTGAGCTGAGGCAGGAGAAGTCCACCTTGAAACGCGGGGAGGACCGTGCAGTCGCGCGAGAAGACCGACGACTTGCACCACCCTGTAGCTCAGACCAGCTGGGGTGACAGAGTCAAGATCCATCTCAAAAAAAAAAAAAAAAAAAAAAGGCAGCCCCTGTTTTCCTCTGTGCCACTGAACTTTCTTGCAGTAGACAGTGGTGGCTCCTGCATGTCCACACTTAGGAGAATTGGACTCCTCAAATTCTCACTTGCACACTTTCCAATTTTTTTTTTGAGACAGAGTCTCACTCTGTCGCCCAGGCTGGAGTACAGTGGTGCAATCTCGGCTCACTGCAACCTCCCCCTGCCGAGTTCAAGTGACTCTCCTGCCTCAGCCTCCCGACTAGCTGAGAATACAGGCACATGCCACCATGCCCGGCTAATTTTTGTATTTTTAATAGAGATGGGGTTTCACCATGTTGGCCAGGCTGGTCTCGAACTCCTGAGCTCAGGTGATCCACCCGCCTCAGCCTCCCAAAGTACTGGGATTACAGGTGTGAGCCACCACACCCGGCTTTAAATTCTTAATTCAGTCATTTCAGAGAATGATCACAGCTGTAGAAGAAACAGAGGAATATGGTAGAGAGCCCAGCGTGGGCAGTGGTGGCCAGGGGATACTTGGAATAGTGGACCCAGAGTCCATCTCTCAGGAAGGGATATTTAAACTCAGTATTCTAAATATTCTAGATGAGAGTCTAATAATGATAACCAAATGCCCAGAGCTGGGGGATGACCAGTACAAGGAAAGAGTCAATCAGTTCAGCTATATTCAACTGCGTAAATAAAAGAACAACCAACCAAAAAATAACACAAAAAACAATGGCTTAAACCAGATAGAAATATATTCTTTTTTCTTATATACAAGAGCTGTACGCATTCCAAAGCTGGCTGAGTACTCTACAGTGTTAGGAGCCCAGGATTTCAGGATCCTTCTATCTTTTTATTTTTTATTTTTTATTTATTTATTTATTTATTTATTTATTTATTTTTTTGAGGCGGAGTCTCGCTCTGTCACCTAGGCTGGAATGCAGTGGCACAATCTCAGCTCACTGCAACCTCCGCCTCCCGAGTTCAAGCGATTCTCCTGCCTCAGCCTCCCGAGTAGCTGGGACTACAGGTGCCCACCACCTCACCTGGCTAATTTTTGTATTTTTAGTAGAGACGGCGTTTCACCATGTTGGCCAGGCTGGTCTCGAACTCCTGATCTCAGATGATCTGTCCACCTCGGGCTCCCAAAGTGCTGGGATTACAGGTGTGAGCCACCCCGCCTGGCCCCTTCTATCTTTGAATTTATTTATTTATTGAGACTGGGTCTCACTCTGTTTCTCAGGCTGGAGTGCAGTGGCATGATCTCAGCTCACTGCACCCTCGACTTCCTAGGCTCCAGTGATCCTCCCACCTCAGCCTCCAGAATAGCTGGGACCACAGGCACATGCCACCATGCCTGGCTAATTTTTAAATTGTTTGTAGAGACAGGGCCTTCCTGTCTTGCCCAGGCTGGTCTCAAACCCCTGGCTCAAGTGATCTTCCCACCTCAGCCTCCAGAAGTGCTGGGGTTACAGGCATGAGCCACCTCACCCAGCCAAAATCAGGATTCTTATTACTAATGAGAAGATCCTTTTGTATTTATATTTTTACTAATTACAAGTGAAAAAATAGATAGTGGATGGCAACTAACAGTGTCTACCACAAACAGCAAATGAAAAGTCTCTTAGACCAAAGGAGTTTGACACTTTTCAGAAAGATAAAGAAGGCCAGCATAGCTGGAGTGGGGGACATGTGGTCCGGGACAGGATGAGAGAGCTGGTGGTGTCCAGATGACATAGGGCCCAGTTTGGACACTGGGGTCTTCTATGTAGAGAAGACGATGTCTCCATAGCACAGGCAGCATTTTGTCCTAATTAATTCTTCCTTCAGCAAATACTGATTGAGCACCAAGCACGGGCCAGCCCCTGCTACAGAAACTGCTGCTATGGTGGCAAACAAGACCGACTCGGTCCCTGCCCTCTGCCCTAGAGTGAATAGCCTAGTGGCCAAGGCAGATGCCAAACACATTGTCACACAGATACACTTAAAATTAGAGTTGTGAGAAGTGTTGTGAAGAAGAGCTACAGTGTGTTGGGAGAATATAAACTAGAGGGACCTGACCCAGCCTGGAGAGATCAGGTTAGACCTTCCAGAACAAACAACATTTAAGATGAGGCCTTAAGGCAGGATGCAGAGGTTCACACCTGTAATTCCAGCACTTTGGGAGGCCAAGGCAGGATTGCTTGAGGCCAGGAGTTCAAGACCAGTTTGGGCCACATAGCAAGACCCCACCTCTATGAAAAATACAAAAATTAGCTGGACATGGTGACAGGCATCTGTAGTTCCAGCTACTCAGGAGGCTAAGGTGGAAGGATTGCAGGATTGTTTGAGCCTAGGAGACTGAGACTGCAGTGAGCTGTGATCACACCACTGAACTCCAGCCTGGGTGACAGAGCAAGACCTTGTCTCAAAAAAAAAAAAAAAAAAAAAAGATGCGGCCCAAATGCAGAGTGTGAAGGATTTAGCCAAGCAAAAGCAGAAGATGAGGTCAGAAGAGTGGTCCAGGTTCTGAAAAGAGATGTGCAAAGGTCCTGGGGCAGGAGTCCACTTGGTGTTTCGGGGAACAAGCAGGAGGCCTCCAGGCTGGAATGGAAAGACAGCAGCAGGAGATGAAACTCAGTAGGGACAGGATCATGTTGCTGGGGGTTTTGAACTTTATCTTAAAGCTACTGAAGGCTGAGAGAATGGCAGGTTGAGAAATACCCACAGGGTGACTCTGGAAGCCAGCTGCCTGGGTGCCGGACCTGTGTCCATTATTTTCTCCCTGTGGTGAGCAAGTCAGTCAACATCACAAAGCCTGTTTCTTTACCTAAAAATATAGAAATAAAAATGGTGTCCACCTATAGTGTCATTGTGAGAATGAAATAAATCATGTTAAAAGCAGAAGCCGGCACATAATAAGCACTCAAAAGTGTTCATCTTTTTTTTATGTTATTAATCCCCTGTCTCTACCATAACAATATAAGCTCTATAATCTGCATATTTTTGTTCATATCTGTATATTCAGTGCCTATTACAATATCAAGCACCTAGAAGGCACTCCTGAATTTTTTGTTGGATGGGTGGATGGATAGGTGGGTGGGTGGATGGGTGGGTAGATTGATGGGTGGGTGGGTGGGTGGATGGATGGATGGATATTGGGTGGATGGATGGGTGGATAGGTGGGTAGGTAGATGGATGGGTGGATAGGTGGGTGGATGTATGGATGGGTGGATGGATGGATGGATGGATGGATGGATGGATGGATGGATGGATGGATAGATGGATATTGGGTGGATGGATGGATGGGTGGATGGAAGGATATTGGGTGAATGGATGGGTGGATAGGTGGGTGGGTGGGTGGATGGACGGATGGATGGATGAGTGGATGGGTGGATGGGTGGATCAGTCAGTAGATGGATTAATCTATCAATCTATTGATCTCAGGATAATATTAAGAGAAGCCACTGGATTGAAGTTTACTTTGGATATCATCTGATTTTAACCTTCAGGGTACAGTAGCTAGATTCCTGTTCCCTACCTTTGTCCCCCAGATCTTTCTAGTATGATGACTACATCTTTATTTCCTTTGTCCACAGGATTGATAGGTGCTCCCAAAAGGGAGACCTGGCTACAGCTCCGAGCCGAGCTGGAAGCTCTCACAGACCTCTGGCTGACCCACTCCCTGAAGGCACTAAACCTCATCAACTCCCGGCAAGTGGCAGCCCCTGTTTTCCTCTGTGCCACTGAACTTTCTTGCAGTAGACAGTGGTGGCTCCTGCATGTCCACACTTAGGAGAATTGGACTCCTCAAGTTCTCACTTGCACACTTTCCAATTTTTTTGTTGAGACAGAGTCTCACTCTGTCGCCCAGGCTGGAGTGCAGTGGCGTGATCGCGGCTCACCACAACCTCTCCCTCCCAGGTTCAAGCAATTCTGCCTCAGCCTCCTGAGTAGCTGGGATTGCAGGCGTGTGCCACCACACCTAGCTAATTTTTGTATTTTTAGTAGAGATGGGGTTTCACCATGTTGATCAGGCTTGTCTTGAACTCCTGAGCTCAGGTGATCCACCCGCCTCGGCCTCCCAAAGTGCTGGGATTGCAGGCATGAGCCACCATGCCCGGCCCAAATATTTAATAAAGCTTAAGTGCACAAGGCTCAGTGGATACCTTGGAGCATAGCTGAGCTAGTAGCTGCAGAGACTTTTCAGGGCCCAACAGGTTTCCAGGTTTCTGAATTCTCCCAAAAGATGAGAACTGGCATTCAGGCTCCAGCTTACTCCAGTCCTCACCTCTCCCTATTGGCCTACACTTTTTCCATATCTCTCATTTACATTACCTGCAACTATTTAAATGTATGGCCCTTGCAATAAACATTTGCTTTTTATATAAGAAAAGTATTCACCCCATACTACTATTCCCCCCATACTACATTTCACCATGTCAGGCAGCTTCAGGCTTATACGAGAGGAACAGCCTGAGAATCCTCGGGCCCTAACATGCCTGAAGATGACAGCCACAGCCTCCAAACCTATCGGATTTCCTGCCAACTGCAGGCTCATGCAGCAGGAGGAGGCCTGGCCTTGTGGTCCCTCTGAGTTCTGATTCACAATCTCCTTTGTCCTTAGGCCCAACTGTGTCAATGTGCTGGTCACCACCACTCAACTAATTCCTGCCCTGGCCAAAGTCCTGCTATATGGCCTGGGGTCTGTGTTTCCTATTGAGAACATCTACAGTGCAACCAAGACAGGTAGGGAGAAGCCACACCTCGGGGGTGATACAGGGATGGAGGGTAGGGTTAGCTTTCCATCCTGGGAATGGGATGTTTAAGGAACATGACACTGGGGAAATGGATGGAATTAGCCTATGGCCATGACTCAGATCCCCAAAACAGCCCCCACAGACCACATGCCTTAACTTCTGCTTCTAAAGAAATTGGTTAGGACCACAGTTTTCCAAAGTGTCTGTATGAGTTCAGATACAGGCAAAGCTGCTGTAACAAACACACCCCAAATGCAAGGGCTTGCAAAAGAGTCAAAGCTGTTTTCTCCCTAGTAGAACAGACAGAAGTGAGTGATCCAGGCTGGTGGGGTGACCCTGTCCTCAAAGATATCCAGAAACCCAGGTCTCTCCCGTTTTATTTTTCCGCCATTCCTTACGGTTTTATTCTCATGTATGGGGTCAAATCAGAGTCCTAGCCTGTAGTCATTCTAGTGGGTCTGATATTTGAAGGCCAAGTTCAGAAGGCTATGCACATTACGTTCTGCTCACTTCCTGTTAGCCCCAGCTTAGTCATGTGGCCACAGGTAGCTGCCAAGGAAGCTGGGAAATGTAGTCCATAGCTGAGTGACTCGTACTGTCACTCAGTCTGGAATGCAGTGGTGAGATCATAGCTCACTACAGCCTTCAACTCCCAGCCTCAAGCAATCCTCCCACCTTAGCCCCCCAAAGTACTGGGACTACAGGCATGAGCCACCGTGCCAAAATATCTTTAATTAGAAACTTTTTCCATTGTTTTTTCTCTAGAGCAAAAAAAAAATGACTTACAGTACTTTGGCAGCATTTTCTTGAAACAATTTTGGTTTTACTGAAGTTCTAGGGCCAAACATTATGTAATTGTAACAAGGTGCGCCACGCCCACCCCACACCCCAGGCTAATTCTTTGTATTTTGAGTTTTAGAGAAGGGGTGTGCCCACCCCATGTTGGGCCCCAAGCTAGTCTTTTCAAAACTCCTGTGGGGACCGCAGGTGGAGTCCCATTCTGCCGCGGGGCCTTCCCAAAGTGGGCTGATGACAGGCATGGGCGCGGGCACCGCCAGCACGTGATACACTTAAAAAATTGTAAGGGCCGGCCCCGGGGCTTCACGCCTGAAGCCCAGCCCGAGGCCAAGACGGGCCAGATCATGAGGCGAGGAGACAACCCCATTCCCGCTAAAACCAATGGTGCAAACCCCGTTCTCTACTAAAATAACAGAAAACAAAAGTAATTAGCCCAGGCAAATAGTGGGGGGCACCGGTAGGTTTTCCCAGCTTACTCGGGGGGAGCTGGAGGGACAGGAGAACGGCATGACCCGGGAGGCAGAGCTTTGGGCAAGTGGAGCCAAGGATCACCGCCCCAACTGACCTCCAGTCCTGGGGTAAAGCCACAAGGAGAGGGGGGACTCTGTTCTCAAAAAAAAAAAAAAAAAATGGGTTTAAAAAAGGGCCAGGGCGCGGGGGCCCGGGGCGCCGGTGGCTTCAAGCCTGTTTTAATCCCTAAGCACTTTGGGAGGCGAGACGCGGCGGATCACGGAGGTCAGGAGATCGGACCATCCGGCTAAACATCGTGAACACCCCGTCTTCTACTCAAAAAATACAAAAAACGTAGCTGGGCGCGTGTGGCGGGCGCCTGTTAGTCCCAGCTACTCGGGAGGCTGAGGCAGGAGAATGGCGTGAACCCGGGAGGCGGAGCTTGCAGTGAGCTGAGATCCGGCCACTGCACTCCAGCCTGGGCGGCAGAGCGAGACTCCGTCTCAAT